GGCCCCGTCCGCCGTGCTCAGAGTGTCGACAGCCCGACGAGTGTCGACAAGCAAGGGTCGTGCAACTACGAGCCCATCCGAGGGCTGAGCGACGAGAATCCAACTCGTCTTCGACGGACCCTGAGACGTGCGACGGTCGGCGGCGTGACGATCACTCCCACTGAGACACCCGTAGTACCCCACCCCGGCCCGGGCAGCACGACTGGTCATCGCCCCAACTCTGAGCTTGAAGGCACTTGCACTCTTACCCCTGAAACTCTCCACAGGAGATCTCAGTTCCGACCTGGGACTCCACCCCAAATTCCCAAAAATCCTTGGCATACCCCTTTTCGCACTTCCGGGCCCCCATCCCACTCCGATCAGGAAGTCGCGCTGGGCGTGAGGTTGGGCGTCACACAATTATCATCGGGGGGGCAAGCGACTGTGTCCAGAACTTTGCTGGTGAATCCTTCTAGTCGTTCTCAAGGTGAGCCATCTGTCGGGTGCAAGGGAGGGCGATCAACAACCGCCGGCGGCGCTGGGGTGCAGCAGTCGGCGTCTCCTAAATAATGGTGGAGTGGGCGGGGCACTCGCAAGAGTTCCTGACGCCTTTTGGGGGACCATTGCAATGAAGGGGGGCCGAGCGGAGAGCAGAGAGGGGAATGTGGTGGAACACATCATCGCACGTGCCTCCACAATGCGTGCGACAAGTGACGGTGAGGGTTGTGGTGAAGGCGGGCCTGAGCATGACATGCGTGAAGACGCGGATGAAATAGACAAGGAGGAAGAAGAGGAAGAGGAGATGGATGACGAAGTTCCGCCGGCTTCCTGCAGCCGCAAGAAGACACCTGCGAAAAAAACCGCTTCCAAGGGCCGAGGTAAAGGAAAGGCGAGTAGCTGAGGGCGGACTATATGGAATTTGGACGATTCCATCACACTTGCCGGTTGTAAGCGTGATCAGGACGGGGCGTTGGCCACCGCAGGGCACAACTTTGCGCTCGTGAAGAATAAGGACATCGCCAACCGCATGGGGGCGTTGGGGGTGAAGCGGGATTGGGAGCAATGTATAAAACGGTGGGAGAACATCTTCTCTTCGTACAAGAAGGTGCAGTTGAGAGAAAAGGAGTCGGGCAAGCAGTTGTTCTTCATTCTCACGTCGAAGCAGCGAAACGAGGCGGGGTACAAGTTCCAAATAGATTGGCGCCTATACGAGGCGATCGATGCAGGCCAGCATGGCAACCAGACCATTCATCTGCCGAATCTGGTGGATACCGACGCGTCTCGACCGCAAGGAGGGGGAAACAGCAGGGGAGGAGAGACTTCTGCGAGCGAGAATGGAGAGGCGGGCGAAGGAGACAGTCCGGGAAGCAAATCATACGGAGGTTATAAATTTTTGAAAAGGAAAAATGCACGACAATAGGCGTTCGACGTGGTTACCGTCAACTTACTGATGTGATGAACACGCACTCGACCGTCGTTGCGGATTCGGTGGACAGAGCCAGCAAGAGACAATGCAATGTGCTACAACTGCAGTGCTATGTCATGGAGAGGGAGGTGAAAGTGCACGAGACGCAATGTGAGGTGCTGGACGCGGAGCAGCGCATGTTGTGTTAAGCATTGATGAAGATAGCGAAAGCCCGGACAAGGCCTTGATCGCTTGTCAATGCCGCCCCATTCCTGGCTTCCGCACAACAGGCTGATGTTTTTTTTCCGGTGAAGTGTTTCCATGTCCCATTGAGAAAAAAAAAACAAGGGTGCATGACGGGCGGGGGGCGGAGGGAGGATGCTTGTGGGGTGTTCAATTCAGTTCGATGGTTGTTTGTTTTTAATTATTTTTTCTGAGATTCAGAGTTGTTTTTAAGTTTTTTATTACATTTTTATTTTCTCGCCTATGTGTCGTACTTGCCTTGTTCAGCGGGGACACAGTCTCCTTCGCTACTTAAGCAGGGCTTTAGCAAGTTCTTCACAATGTGTCGAATGCGCTGCCCCTCATGGTGTTAGTTTACGAAGAACCATCGCCACAAAGTCGCCATCTCGGGACGCATCAAGGGGGGGTGGCTGGACGGCGTTGTGGAAGGGGAAACAGTTGGGGGCTGCAAGGCTTTGTGGAAGCAGAAAGGGTGGGGGACAGCCTCGGTCTGTGCTCGCATCCGGAAAGGGTGATCGCCGATCTGCGGTTATCGGCATGCCATGAACATCGTGATAGCATGCAAATGGCGTGTGCTAGGGAGGACCATAGTGTTCAACGAGTACAGGCATAGGAGGGGAGACGGTGATGTTCGCCACATGGAAGTCGGGAGCTTCGCGATAAAGTTAAATTCTTGTTTACACTTATCAGTCTCGAAAAAACCAATATTACAATGGAAGCACCCATCTCCGGTATAATAAAAAACCTGAGTAGATCTGGATTTTGTGATCAAGCGGGTAAACCACTTGCCAAATTGGCCTGGGTGAACTTAGGTCGTCTCTCGTGAAGAGTGGCGGCATTACGAAGTAGATGCCTACGGGCGGACATGCCTGCAAGTGACGGACATGCCTGCAAGTGACGGTCCACCTCGGGTTCGCACGGTGTTTGTTGTGCGATTGTGTCATCTTCGTCACAAAGATCGGCTTTGCACCCCAACCACTGGAGAGGCGGTGTCAATGTCATCGGGGACATGGTGCGTATGCTGGTTTCCATGCTGGCACATGAGTTCGAGGACCGCCTTCACTGCCCGTCCACGTTTCGAGCTCTCGTCGATGCGCCACTGGAGCTGAGAGACGATCTGTGCGGCGATGTTTGTATTCTGCGAGATGATGTCGTTTGACCTTCCGTGTGCATGTTGCCCATTTCGCCTTCCTCCCTTCTATGACGCGCAGTTCTTTCGTTCTATGCAGGATGAATGAGGGAGTGGGAAGCGATTATTTCCTTTTGTGCGACATGTGTTCGCAACTTCGTGCGAGAGAGAGAGAGAGAGAGAGAGAGAGAGAGAGAGAGAGAGAGAGAGAGAGAGAGAGAGAGAGAGTCTCCCGACAGGGTTTATAGGCCGTCGGCGGCGGCGGGCAAAAAAGAATCGATGGTTGAGCCCCTATGAATGATGTACTTTCAATGAATTCAAAGCCAGTGTTTTGCATTTAATAATATCGGGTTCTTGGCGATCTTTGGTTTCGTCGGACAAATTGTCATCTGCACATCGTGATTTGTAACACTTCCCACGACCTATGTGAAATTGTGAACGGCATTTGTGTTCTTCGTGTTCGGTGTGGTTTTTTTTTTTTAATTGCTATTCCCCGTCAAGTTTTGCACGCTATGTTTGTAGGATATGGCTGTGTGCAAGATTCGCAGTGCACAACAGACATCAACAATGAATGGAGAGAGACAACTGAAAATCCAAATGAAAGGACTTGATTAACCTCAACGTTGTTGGAAAGCAAGACAAGGGCGTATGTTGTCTGCGATCGTAAAGAATAAAGATTCAAGAACATGATGTTAGGCATACATCCACTAGCAGTTCACGTATGTTTGATTGGCAACCACAGTGCGGAGAAACAAAACGGAAAATTAACAAGGCTCACAGTTAGAACGCCATACACCCGATTCCCATGCACATCATAAGGAAATTGAACCATTTTAATGCATAAAATAACTTGAATAGACTGGAAGTGCAAGCATTGATTGCTTTCGCCGAACAACGAAAGGATTGACTTGCACCTTGAACAAAACATCTAATCCAACTATCCACCCCCGACTGGAATGTGTCGAGCACGACCATGAAATTGAAATCCCCACTGAGTACACGGTTGTCGAAGATCCTCTAACCCTAAATGCAATGCCTCGTGTTCACACCGGCGAGGCGAGGTAACAAAAAATATTGCGACATCTACTCGCGGAGGAGCTGCATGCAGCGAGAGAGTGCCGCACGCAAGTCCAACGCCACTTCGCTCGCATCCGCTTGAGACACCAGGACCGTGGGCTCATGCATGCCAAGATCGATCGGCCGCTCGTTCCCATTCGCGTCTCTCTCCATTAGCAAGCGCTGGTCGAAGTCAATCCCTGCCTCAATGAGCAGGTTGTGGATGATGCAAACCGTTGTAAACTACTAGGGCATGTTATCCATGTTCGTTTTGTGGTGCCTGAGGGATAACCTCTGCATGCCCTTCACCGCCCAAAAACTCTCTCCACCACGTCTCTCGCAGTCTTGTGGCACGTATCAAAGTACGCCTCATCGTTGGTCTGCACCACTCCGCTATAAGGCACCACCAGCCATGGCAAGGGGCCAAAGCCATTGTCCCGAAGCACGTACCCCGTTGTTCGCACCCCACCAGGAAGAGTAACCGTCTCCGTTGTGAACAACATGTCTGCCTTCGCACGCCTGCACAACGAGGAGTTCCACAATATCGTCGTGTCATGGACACTGTCGAGGTACCCAACGAACACATCGATGATGCGCATGTCCAAATCAACCACCACTTGAGATACGACCGAGTATAGTTGTTTCCGGTTGTAGTAATTCTCGAGCAGGGCATTATCGGGTTTATCCACATACACGTAGGTGCAATGCATGCATGTGACGCGCAAACCTCACGGCCCGTGCTGTCTTTCGTTCGGAGTGTTAAGCGTGCGGAAAGAGGCCCAGAAAAACAGCAAGATGGGGTGTGCCAAGGATTTTTGAAAATTCAGTGTGGGGAAACAGATGGAACTGAAATCCCCCGTGTTGGTCCAATGAAGCAAGTGGATTGTTTTCGTGCGTCGCGGAAGGCGCGCGCGGGCACGGCGCGAAAGATCCAAATTCAATCCAAAAAGTATTGTCGGGCTTCCCACCGGGCTACAGCCCGACGTTTAGAACGGAAAGGCTTTGGCACGCTTCGCRTGTCTCGTWTTCGTATCAAATCTCRTCGTCGTWCACTGGTCAGTTCCGRGTYWGACGTGGATKGTCTAAGCCACGTGGCTCTTTCTTTATGCTCGTCTTCACTCYGCACACGATAGTGGAAACCCCTGGACTCGTAGCGCTCAAAACGGTGACATTCGGTGCATAGAGTGCGCGGCCAGTGGGGTTCTACTGTCGTCCACGGGATGACGATCAACTCGTTGAATGGCAACAATATCGAGTAAGGTGGGAAGTGTGTATCGATAATGACAAACCCAGCCTCTACAAACCCTGAACAACGATTGGCCGGAGGGAAGTAGTATCGTCCGCCGATTTGTGCAACGACTTCTCGTACGTCCCACTCGCATACACGTGTCCTTCCCTCGTTGTAGGGAAAAGGCCGTGTTGGGACGGGAGGTACGGGAGGCTGGTGCCCGATCGGAGGGTACTGGTCAGTCCACATATCAATCAATTGTAAAGAACTGGAGACGTCATCAAGAAAAGAAAACGCTCGCGCATCCCACAATCAATCCCTTTCAACACGAGCTGAGAGAGCGAGAGAGCGAGAGAGCAAAAAAAAAGATACTTCATCAGCTTGATCATGCATATGACTAAGGAACCGATCTGCGGCTCAGGTTTAGTGAGCCAGCGCGACGTTGATCCCAGGCGCCTTGTTGCTCGGCTGCTGATTTCGTGCAGCATAAGGCAGATGGCATGCGTAGTGCATCCAAAGCTACACATCTAAACACTCTTGCATTCTCGGACAAAATCCCGACGACAATCGTCTAATCAACACAAAAGAGATGCGCATCTCCATACATTCATTCACTGTGGAAGGTGCGAAAAAAATAAGCACAGAAAAAAAGATGGATCGCTTGCACAGTACACACGCATCCACCGTTCACAAGACAAGAAGACGGGGCCCTTGCGTAGGAGGATTATAACCTCATCCCGATCTTTGCAATGGATCTTGGCGATATTCGCCGATCACCGCGCGAGCGGCCAGTTGCGATCCCAACCCTCGTCCCCTTCCCACATCCCCAATGAACCACGCCGATCTTCTCGCTCCTCTCTCTATCTTTGGTCTCCCCTCTCTCTTCCCCACCTTCTAGCAATCCGATCTTCATCCTTCTCTCTCCTTCTCGTTCGAGCCTCTTTCGGTCCGTCTTATCAATCCTAGACACTGGCAGCTGTGGCACGAAACTTTTGAGGAGCTGTCTTTCTGCTTGGCCAGAGTATAGGTGACATGGACACCGACCAGCGGGCATCCTGCGTGGATCGAAAATCCGGAGCTGCCAATCATCCAAGCTTGCACGACTAACGCGGAGGGCGATCTTCTTGGTTTTCTCTTTGGATCGGTACAGCCGAGGCGTCGCCAGCTGATTGCGCAGGAGCTCATCACACCGATCGTGCAATTGGCGGACGATCTCTCGCCGACATCTCTATTCACAGAGTGACGACAGTCGTGCTCCGTACATTTTCGAGCGATCATTGGATCCGTACCTTCAGTGGACTGCGTGCTTGCAGGAACCTAGGGACGAGGATACGCTACCATCGCGGCAGGAGTATCTGAAGCCGTACGATATCATCCCTCACACCTTCTATCCGAGGGCAGAGGACGTGGTGATCGACGACGACGACGAAGAGGACGAAGACGAGGAAACATCGGAGGAGGGAAGCTATAGTGAACATAGCGAGGGCGAGCTGAGCGAAGGGGAAGAGAAGGAAGAAACCGGATCCAAGTGGGAAGCCTTGCCGGAGGAAGCGACGCGTACGGGAACGGAGGCAGAAGATCCGGAAGCGGCGCGAAAGCGCGAAGAAATTGCCACCGGGAAGTGCCAGCTGGAATTCGCTAGCGAAGCTAGCCTGCGCATCGGTAACGATCCGACCAGGGATCCAGAGCCGCCGAAGCCCGAAGATGGCCACCCTGCAGCCGCCACCTCAAGTACCGCGCGACGGAGACGGAGCCGATCCCCCTCCTCCTCCAGCCCCACCCGTCCCCCAGTTCGCCCACGTACCGATGCGGGCGATAGGCCTTCGTCCTCGGACGCTGTCCCGCTGGCCCCTTGATTTCCTCACCCTCGAGCAGATCCGTACCCCCATCACCTTCCCTTCCCATCCCTTCCTTCCCCATCTCTTCCGCGACTTCT